AAAAAGAAAGGTTTTAATCAGTAGAAAGCTTATACTGAAGGTGTTTTTATCCAAAATATTTTCAGATATGTTAAAACTAGTATTATTATTATAAGAAGCTTTAGTTTTTTCTATAGTATTTTTTGAGAGAGTTTCATTAGAGTTTTATTTTTATTAGTTTAAAAAGGTGAAGTAGAACATCCTCTTTATTTGGTTTTTTATTCTCTCTTATTTTATGACATATTGAATTATCTAATTAATTAATTTAACTTAATATATATTTTTAATATAATTTTTAATTGCTAAGAAAATCAATTATTTTTTAATCATCAATTATTTAAATTCAATTTATTGGTTTCAAAATCCATTATATAATAAAATATAATAATTTAATAAATATTTAAGTATTTATTATAATATTAAAAAATAATTTGTTTATTTAATAATTACAAACTTCTATTTGTAATATAAAATCCACTTTATATAATAATATTTATTAAATAAATTTTATAGAATAGAATTTAATAATAAATAAATTTTAATATATAAAAATTAAAACTTAATAAGTATTTTAATTTTCTTTTAAAATATTAAAAATTGGTTAAATATTATTATATATATTAAAAAAAAAAACTATTAATTATCTGTAATATTTAATTTTTCTATAAATTAAAATAAATATTAATATAAAAATAAAATTATTTAATAATTTTTAAATTCATAAAGATTAATATAATTACCAAGATTTTGACTATTTTCTATTATAATATCATTTTGATTTAAAATTTTATTTAAATTCTCAGTAAAATCAAGTAAACGACTTGTATGATATGCTTTTGAATGAGATTTAGCAATATTTTTATTACTATTAAAATTATTTTGCTTTTGATTTAATATCTTATCTGCTTTATAAAAATCTAAAATATCATCCTTTGATTCTTTTTTAAAATAATTATGAATGATAATTTCTTTCCAATTTTCAATAATCTTTTTAATTTCTGATGCAGTTGGTCTTTTTAATGGATTTATATCCCAACATTTTTTCATTAAATCTATATAACATTGTGGAATATTTTTAATATCTTTAGGACGTTTACCTTTACATATATCTAAACTAAGTTGAAAATCATGAGCTTCATTATCAAATGGAGAAACTCCAGATATAAATTCCCACATAATCATAGAAAAGCTATAAATATCACTAGCTAAAGTATAAGATTGACCTCTTAAAACTTCAGGTGCTACAAATGGTAAAACACCATAAATATTATTATTTTTATATGATTGAAAATATTCTACAGGTTTACATAATCCTAAATCACTAATAGATAAAATATTATCTCTTAAGTTTAAAATATTGCCATGATGAAAATCACAATGTATAAGATTTTTTTGATGTATTACATCTAGTCCACTAATAATATTATATAATTGTAATAATTTAATAATCCATCTATTTTTAGTTATATTTGATAAATTTTTTCTTAAATTATTATTTTTTGCATATTTCATTATTATCATATAATTTAATGTATTTGGATCTTGAGTAAATCCATATAATTGAATAAGATAATTATCTGAATATTTTTTTAATTGACTATAACATTCATGATGATTTTTCCACTAAAATAATAAAAATAAATTTAAAATTATAATATACAAAAAATAAATTAAAATAATAAATTCATACTTCATTTAAAAATTCTTCATTTAAATTAAATGAATTATTAAGACATTTAAGAGATACTTCTAATTCTTTACTTCTAATCCAATTTTTATCATTATATGAATAATATTCAATATATCCATCTAACCAAGTAGCTTTATATATAATACTAAATCCTCCTTTATCAAGATATTCAATATTTTCTAATTTACTATAAGGAATCCATTCTAATATTTGCTTTGCATTTTTAGCATTCAATTGAATTTTTTGAATATATTCATCAATAAATTTATTTTTACTAATCCAAAAAGAAAAATTTTGATGAAACACTTTAGAATTACATTTATTACACCAAATATATCCAGTATTATTTTTATAACATTTTTTGCATATTCCTTTTTTTCTAAATAAATTTTCAATAATTAGTATATTATAATAATTTTATAATTTAAAAATAAAGTATAATACTTACTAAAATTTAATAGATTTATTATATTTAACAAAATTTAATAATTAAATTTTTTTTAAATATTAAATTATATTATATATTAAAGTAAAATTTATATTATATAATTAATAAAAATACTTACCATCTAAAATATTAATAATTTTTTAAGTAAAAAAAATTTAGTTAAATTGAAATTATAGTAAAAAGTATAATTAAATAATAATAATCAACTTAATTTAACCATCTAAAATCAACCTAAAATCGCAAATCAGAACTAACAAATTTAAATTTATTTCAATTTATTAAATTTATATTTTTATTATTTTATATAACAGATAAATTTAAATTCCTTAGAAAGAAACACTTTCAATATAATTAAAAAATAAAGTAAATAAAGAAATGAATTAAAAATTCTACTTTCGATTGATTTATCATAGTGAGTTCCTAAAAAAAAATAAGAAAAAAAAAAGAAAAATGATAAATTTTCACTCAAAAAGTTACTAACAATTTGCTTACCTTAATTTGAAGATGTGAAATTTACTAAAAAAATAAGAAAAAAAAAATGGTAAATTTTCATTCAAAATTCACCAACGATTTGCTTATCTTAAGAATTTCCTAAAAAAAAACAAGAAAAAGAAAAGAAAATATTAAATTTCACTCAAAAAGTCATCAACAATTTGCTTACCTTAAAAAATTTCCTAAAAAAAAATAAAGGAAAATGGTAAATTTTCACTCAAAAACTCATCAACAATTTGCTTACCTTAATTTCAAGATAAGAAATTTCCTAAAAAAAACAAGAAAAAAGAAAATGGTAAATTTTCACCCAAAAATTCATCAATAAATTGCTTACCTTAATTTCAAGATAAAAAGTTTCCTAAAAAAAGAAAAATAAGGGAATTCCACTTAAAAGTCACTTCAAATTTACATTTCTTATTTCAAAATAAGAATTTTCCTACAAAAATAAGAAAAAAAAAGGAAAATTGACTTAACTTGTTTCCAATTTACTTATTTTTAAAATGAAAACTTTTCTAAAAAAAAACAAAAATAAATAAGAAAAATAATAAATTTTCACTTAAAAAATTTACCACATTTCCAAAATGAGAATTTTCCTAAAAAAAATGGTAAAAAACTTTAAGATAAGAAAAAAATATAAAAAAAAAAGGAAAAAGGTTAAAAAAAGGAAAATTTTTTTTTGGATTAATCCGAAAGTTTTCAGATTAATCAAAAAGTTTTCAAATAATCTGAAATTTATTCATAATTATTCTAGCCAATTGAAATATCGTTTCTATTGAATGATTTGTATCGTCTCTTAGGAAATGATGATTTAATCGTTTAATCGGACGACTTTTATCATCTGATTAAAACAATGATGTTAATTTGAACGATCAGCAAATCTAAATTTAATATTTCACTAAAAGGAATTATTTTCTTAAATTTTTTACTATTTGATTATATAACACATTTGTAATATAAAACAGAATACTGCTAAAAAAAATAAAAAATGAATTAAAGTTATATTTCAACCTGAAATAATAAGAATTATGAACTTAAAAAATCTTTTAAAAAAAGATCTTGAATAAATCCTTTTTAAAAATTCTGACTAATTTTATATCTTTACTAAGTATTTACATTTCATTTCATTTAGAATTTTGAATCTGTTATTTCAAATAAAATGAAAATCAAATAATTAAAATATTAATGAGAATTTTATATTCTAAGATCTATTCTCCAAAATTTTAGAGAATTTGATTTACTTTATAAAAAAATTATGATTTTTAATTCATATTTGAAGCTAGGACTCCCAACCAAAATTCAGGCAAGGTACTATTTTTAAACACTTCAGCATAATTATTTTAAATAATTTACAAAATTAAAATGATTAAAGGAATCAATGTTATCTGTACATAAAAATAAAATAAATTTGCTTTAGTAAGCAGATAGTAATGAAAAGAAAATCATTTTCCAGCTAAATTTATGAAAAATAATTAGTAAAAGATTCTTAAATTTGGAATTTTAATACATAAATTACTAGAAATAATATAAATAATAAACAACAAAAAAAATCTTCTAATTTGAAACAGAAATTTTTAAATCTTTAGGATTGAAAAATGTTAAGGAATCGGGTAAAGTTGGTAAATTGATTATATTAGTAAAGGAGCAATCAAGATGTGTTAAGGGGTTATTTGAGTATTAGAACAACGGAGATCTGTTAAAGAGATTGGTAAAATTGCTAAACTGGTTAATTGAGTATTATCACATTCAAGAGTTTTTAATGAGTTGGGTAAAGTTGGTAAGCTGGTTATTATAGTACTAGAGCAACGGAGTTCCGTTAAGGAGTTTGGTAAAATTGGTAAGCTATTAATTTGAGTATCATAACAATAGAGTTCTGTCAAAGAGTTTTGTAAAATTGGTAAGCTGGTTAGTTGAGTACCATAATAGAGTTTTATTAAGGAGTTGGGTAATGCTGGTAGGCTAGTAATTTTAGTCTCATAGCAAGAAAGTATCATTAAGGAATCGGGTAATGTTGTTAAACTAGTTATTTGGGTATAAGAACAACGGAGTTCCGTTAAGAAGTTGGGTAATGTTGGTAAGGTAGTAATTTTAGTCTCATAGCAAATGAGTTTCGTTAAGGAGTTTGGTAAAGTTGGTAAGCTGATTATTTGAGTATAATTGCAATCGAGTTTCGTTAAGGAATTGGGTAAAGTTGGTAAGGTAGTAATTAGAGTGTTATTACATTCGAGGATTTTTAAGGTATTTGGTAAAGTTGGTAAACTGGTTATTTGAGTATAATTGCAATCGAGTTTTGTCAATTTTCGATATTTTTGCAATCCTCCTGAGGTGTTTAATATGTCATTCATATTAATATCTGTAATTGTTAAACTATCAATAGTACAATAATTAATTAATTCAAGATTTCTTATTCTTTTTTCTAATTCATTAATAATTTCTTGTTTTTCTTTGGATAATTCTTCTCGTTCTCTATACTTTTCATCATAATTATTAATAATTTCCTGCTTTGCTTTGGTTTCTACTTCTCGCTCTCTAATCTTTTCTTCTAAACATTTGAATTGTGAACGTAACTCTTCATTACTTTGTTCTAATTCTTTAATTCGAGTTTCAAAGCCTTTTAAGGTTTTTTCTATGTTGATTTTTAGGACCATTTGTGTTAAATAATTTATTCCTGAGATATTAAAACAAGTTTTCCGTTCAGCCCTCGGTTTAAATATTTCCCATATATAATAGAATTTCCATAAATTAACTAGTTTACTTACTTAAAAAAAAGATCGGTGAGATTTTTTGCCAAATAAAGTTGACAAATTTACAAATTTATATTTTTGAATGTGACGATGATGCAACAAATTACAAAGCTAAAATTTAGCAGTTGGTGGTACATACCTAAATCAAAATCAAAAAAAAATTAATTTATCTATTCTTGCTAGCCTTAAGCCTTTCTAGTTGAAAAAAAAAAATAATTAAACTTACATTGACTAAAATAGTCTGTTGAGAAAAATTAGATTGAATTTTTGGTTGACCTTCCGCATTCATGAATTCCATAAAACTATATTCCAATAAGGCCCATGGATTTTTCCAACAAAAATTTGCATATATTTGATTCTGCCATAAACAGAGAGGTGTAGGTAAAGATGATAATCGGTCTCAAGGAGTTCTAGTCTTTCGGTCTTTAATTTTAAAAGACCGGACTTAAATAACCGCAGTCCTCTTCAGTCTTCTGTTTATGTGATTAAAATCAAAAGTCCGACAGTCTTTTTATAAAACTTTGGTCTTTTTTTAAAAATTGCGGTCTTCAAAATGACTGATCAACATTAAAGTAATATTAAAAAATATTTATATATAGTTATATTAAATTTATACAGCCAAAATCCATTTTTTATTATTTGAAATAAACTTTGTTACTATAAAAAATCATTCCCACTCTTTTAAAAATTGACCCGGCGGGTTACAAGAACCAAAAATTGAGTTTGTCCGTCCTAATATTATATAATTTTAATTCTTACGGGGCAGGCATAAATTCATGATTTATTTTTGTTTACTAATAATTTCAAGATTTGCAAAGTTCTTTTGGAGGTAGAGTTCTTACTCAATATTAAAAAAAAAAAATTTAAATGAGAAATGGTTTTTGATATTGAAATTTTTATTTCGATATCAGAGGATATCAAACATTGATTTTAATATAAATGTTTATTTATTTGCAATTAATATTCTAATATCAATTTGCTAAAGGAGCCCTAATAACCGATGTAATGAATGCTCTAAATCTTCTAAATCTATTGAAAAAGATCAAATAAAAATGAAAGTAAATGATATTGTATGACAAAATGATATGATATTACCGAAAATAATACTTTTTTTTTATTTAAATCAAAATGAGTCATTATTTGAAAAAAAAACTATAAAAAAAATTATTTAGAAAAATAATAGAAATGAGAAAGTCTTACTAGCAAAATAGTTAATTGCTAATTACTTAGAAATTCTCAATACAGCGAATATCTTTAAATTTGATATAAATTATATAATGAAATTAAAATAATTTAGAGTTCAGTAAACTCCTGACGCCATATCGATATGAAATGTCAACGTGCTATTTAATATGCAGAGAATATTACTTATCATGCAGAGAAAGCACTCGAAACAGAGTAAATAAATAGTTCTTTTTCTTAATCAGAGTAATAGAAGATCAATAATTTAAAAAATTAAAAATTAAATCAATAAAATTAAAATTAAAAAAGAAAAACATTACTATTCGGGTTCCTTCCTTCTCTGCGGGGAGCAGCGAAACAAATATTGTCATTTTTCAATTCCAGAGTTAGTGTAAAAAGATTTTGCATTTATTCTTTTTATAAAATTTAACTATTTAATTAACCTTAACGTAAAAAATTATATTTAGTGACATTCAACTTAAGGATTAAGTTGGGCACATGGCGCCAAGTATTAAATTTATATATGCAAAATTAATGTGAATTATAAATAATGACTATTTGTGCTATTTGTGCAAATCATAATTAAGTAAATGTTTAATTACCGGTTTTCCTTTCCATTAAATTATTTGATAACGATAATTTAAAAAAAAAAAAGTATTATTTTTGCTGATCGGCCACCTTTATATTTGGAATAGAAAACTACCGACTGTTATTAAAGATATTTTTTTTTTTGAAATATTTTTATTAAGAAAATAAGCTTTAGATGATCTCAGTATCGAATGCTCAATAGTTTTAATATCATTGAGATCAAACCGGTACGTACGATTCGATTATAGAAAGTACTGTACCATATAAAAATATTTTTAATTATATTAATTATAATTTAAACTCAATTAAACTTTTTTTTAAAAAAAATAATATTTTATACTAAGTTATTTTTATTGTTTACCCGCACAATATCTATGAAATGTTGACTATATAGATTTCCACGATAGAGAATAGTATTTTTTTTAATTATTTCCATGTTTCTGGATTATATTATATTTGAATGCTTCGTTAAAACCACTAAATTATCGCGAATTGATTTAATATATATATAGTTGATAAAATCTTTATGGTTAAGGATTGCAAATATGTTTTGCTTTTTTATTTTTATTGTAAATTATAGATTGTCTAAATAAAATTACTTGCATTCGTTTCTTTTTCGCTTGAAAGCGGCTTTTATATATATCTTTTAAAGAAAAATATTTTTAACTTTAGGGCAACGAGTTTATTGTATGATTCTAATATAATAAAATTGCAACATATTGTTATAGGATTATAAGGATATTACTTTAGCTTCAAAAAGTTAGTTGAATTCGAGTTAATAAAGATTTAAAATAATTTTACATATATTGTGATATAAAAATATAAATTGAAGCGACCTTACAATTAGATCTGAATTTGTTATTATGGCATCAATATCTTTCTAAGTTAGGACTCCTATATAAAGCCATAGAAAATGTATATTAAAACATTGGGTTTGTATCATTTGATGAAAGTTTACAAAATGAGTTTATTATTAAAAATTGCAAAATTTTGTTTTAAGATTTATTGTAAATCAACTCAAAATAGGTTTTCCAATAATTTTATTTATTGAAATTTTCAAAATTCCAGTATTCCATTTATCTGTTTCAAATATTTCCAAATATAAATATACGCGTGATTAATATATTAACGTATCATAAATATACAGTATTAATCACTTTGCGTTATAAAGCAAATTATAAATTTTATTTTTTTTAATAAAAAGTGAATTAATTTAAAACTTATCCTTCCTCTTCTATCCACTTAATACCTTGATATAAATTGCAACTATCAAATTTAAAAGTGTGATATTTTAATATTGCATGGAGAAAGTAAAAATAATGTTTTTCAAATATTATTATTATCCATTTTTTTACTTTTAATTAATTGGAAATTCAGAAATGCTTAAAAGTAACATAAAGACTAAATTTAACATTCAAAAATGAACGTTAAAACTTCCTGAACATATCTGGCTGGAATTCATGTTTCAAATCTCCAAAATAATTGTTGAATACAACTATTACCAACCCGAAAAAAAATACTTCATTTAAATAATTAATTCATTACATAAAATAAAAAAATGAAAGAAAAATCAAGGAACTCAACCTGAATACTTTGTTTTTTTTTTTATCCGGCCATTGTATAAAGATTCAACCCAATTGATTCAGGTTAATTTTATATATTAAAACGTACTTAAAAATCCCTCTAAATTGCATATATTTTACATGTAAGGCCGGGCAAAAAAAATAATTAGATTCTCGTGACCCGGTCGCCTTAATTTTTTTTTTTTTATATTAAATATTTTTTTTTCAAGTGACTTAATATAATGAAAATCTTAATGGTGTGGTAGCATTTTTAGAATTAATTAATTCTTCAGTATATTTCCATCATATTTCGGCTTGTTTTCCATCTTGAGCTGACGCAAATTTCATTTCAATTTTACCAAATGGTTCGAAATATGGATTACGGTAATCTTTTCAACAATTTCAGGGCTTGTGACAGCATATTAAGGTCCATTCTTCAGGAATGACGAAGATCATCAATCAAAGGATTTGCCTTAATTTATGTTATTAATACAAAAAATCCGTTAAAAAATAAAGTATATAGAAAGAACAATTGCAGCCTAAGTCAATTAAATATCAATTAAATAACGTAGCTGAGATACAATACTTATAATTTAGAATTTTCTAAATTTGAAATTTATTTTTTTTAAGGTGGAAATTTGCTTAGTATGCATCATGGCATACCGCCTCATAATAATTATAATTAATAACTTGCATAATATAATTTTCAAAAAATAATACAATTAAGTTATGCTGTATCTCAAATACTGTAAGATCTTCATATCTTGACACAATATGTATCACCACCATTATCGTTATACAAGATAATTTTTTTTTAATTTTAAAAAAAAGCTTTCTTTTAAAAATAATAACAATGTCTGATAGTGACAATAAAGGTAAAAGTTCAATAGAAATTCCAAAAAAAAAATATATGTACATATTTCCACCAACAAAAATAACGGAAATAAAACTTAAATGAGTATATTTGACGGTTAGATGATTTATAAAAAACAATTTATTTCACAAATTCACAGAGTCATTATCGGATGTTATGGAAGTATCCTCATCAGAAAAAATAGAAGGTAACGGTAATTCCATATATTATTAACCACATTTAAATATTATAATAATTCATTACTCATTTTATTCACTATTTTATCAAATAAGAATCAGCTTCATGTGATGAAGGTAAACATAAATAATTAACCAATACCACGAAAATTGTAATGTTAAACTAACCTTGGTGATGAAATTAAATATAATAACTATAATACTGCAATTCGTTAATTATATTAGTTCCGAGTGATGATGAAGGTAAATACAATAACAAATATATGTATTTAACAAATATTATAATTTAACCATGTTTTTCAAAATATTAGAAGGATTGCATGGTAAAGAATAATCTACCTATCGTTAGTCAAAAATAATATTTTAATTTGTTAAATTAAATTTAATTTAATATTTATTTATAGAATGTAAGGCATTTAACTTTTATATATCTTAATACAATTAAATTTTGATTAAACGTTTTAATAAACAATATCTAATGATTAATATTACCATAGGGAGTAAGTTATCTATAATCTTTTA